AGGGATATTGCAATCGTAGAAGTCTTGGGACTAGTGTGACACTAATGTTCTGGAGTGCTTGAGAGAGGACGAGTGAGAGAATGCTTTAGAGCATGCAGAATCTTGGATTTTATTTTGTTTTATTTTTAAGTTGGTGCATTTGGATGTTGTTATGAGCCCTTTTTAGCCAATGTTTTCTTATCTGAGGGGAGTATTGTTGGACAGTGAAACCTTTCAGATACTGTGATCCTAATGGCCTCCATTTAGTGATAGATTCTATGAGTTCATCAAATTTTATGCATTGGGATTTCTCTTTTGTGCTCGATTCTTTATCAATGTATTCCTATGAGACAGGAAAAGAGGATTCATAAAATCTTGTGAATGACATGAAACTGAGAGCTTGTAGCTGGGTTATTCATCAGAAAATTATTTTGTTTTCAACTGATGAGTGTTTATTGGGTGAGGTTTAGTTTAGATGCATATATGGCGATGTAATTGAAAGCACACAGTGGGTGTAACTCTCGTCCTTCCCATGGGTCTCAGAACTAGGAGTGCATGCTCATCTTTATGTTTCTTGCTAATTTTTATGTTTCTTCATTTGCATGTATCCCAGTGGCAGTGCTTTATGCAAACACACCCAATGAACATGCTTTTTTTATAACTGGAACATGTTCAGGACACACGCTGATGGCTCTAGTATCATATGGATGCGCTGTGATGTTACACACACACACACACTCACACACACAAAAAGAAAGAAACATGCCTTCACCCATAAATCTGCAATGAACATAAATAACACTATTAAAAAACATTTATAGTTCTGGGAGAGACAGGCTCAGCCATGAAAGATTGGTAGAGTAAAAGGCAGATTGTTGGGAACCATATAGTTTAGCTGCAATTGTTTCTTTCGGGACTGCTGTTTAATAGAAAAGGTTGAAATTTGTGAATCGACCAGTCAATCTCAGATGTGGTGCTACTGATGCCTTGCTATCCGTTCCAGTTGGGTTTCTCTATCTCCAGAAATTCATTTCTTGTTAAAATGTGAAAGAAAAGACAATTCTTATTATCTGCTTTCTATTGTTTGTTTGGAAGCATCCTTTGAAGTAAGTGAACTTCTGATCCAGAGACATGAGGTCGTCTGGCTAACACAAACTGGATGTCATCTTGCCAAAACAACTCATTTTCCTTAGAGCTGGCTTATGCAAGGATTTCTAGGAAAATAATATGGTGCACCAATCTTGATCTACTAAACATTGAGTCATTGATGCATGCAAGTATGGCTGTTAAACAATTACAGCTGTCCACAGTCCTTAATTTGAATTATAATGATTGGCAAGCCAAATCATGGGGCTTATCTCTTCTTGTATGGTTAAAATCTTTGTAGTGAATGTAGTTTATCCGGTATCAAAATGCATTGCTGTATGCATAGCTTCCACTCAGACATTACGTTAATAATGATTATATATATATATGTGTATGTGTGTGTGTGTGTGTGTGTGTGAAAATACATGTTGACATTGAATTGATCATTGCTAATCCTCAGGTTTTGTCACGTATGGATTGTGACGTTTCATCTTTGATGCTGATCACACTAGGGAGAAACTTACAGTTGCTTGGTTATAAGCTTCAGGTGTGTTATAGAATGAACATATTGTGCTGTGAATAGTTTATGCTTCTGAATGATTTATTTAACTCTTGTGCACTTATTCATCTATAAGAAAGTAGCTAATTTTTTGGTGGACAATCAGTATGTGTTACTTCCTCAAAAACGTGACTGTTTCAGTGGCATATGGGAACATGTGTATCCGTTGTTTTTGGAATATTTTGTATGCATAACCTAGTACCCTGTTCCTTACCCTTCCTTTTTTCTGCTGAAGTGATTCTTTACTAGGCTATGGTTTGTTGCATTTATTGTGCAGTTGTCTTCCTGTTCTAAAGGTTTCTTGGTTTGAAGTGTTTCAGGTAGGAATTTTTTGGTATATGTTGTACTTCTATTCTGTTTAGCCAAGTGTCCATAGAGAATTAGAGAAGTTCTATTCTTTTTTATTCATTGATTATAATATTTATAACCAAATTTCCATAATTTATTCTAAGGTGTTCTGGATTCCTTAATATTTATAACCAAATTTCCATATCATATGATAGCATTTTTTGACTATGGGGGACTTAACGAGGTGTTCGGTTTGAGTGGAACATTCATATTTGTGCTTTTCATGTAGCCAAATGTCTCCATCTATCAAATCCAGGTTATTTTAGTCGAGAGACTATCAACTGAAATATATACAATGTGCCAATAAAAAGTTATTTAGGCAACAACTGAAATAATATATATGCTACTAAAGAGCTCCTTTTCACCTCTCTTCTCAATTTTACCATTTATCACTTGTTCCAGGCATATAGCAATAAACACAGCTTTTGTGAAAGAGATGGGGTTTGTCCAGATGCACTTTCATTTGACCCTTTACCATTGGATCACTCTTCTCTGAGATGTGGCAATTGTTCTGTTACTATAAACCTAGGAATTACAATCGAAATCTGCACTTTCCTTGCACATGTAAACTTTTGCAAAATTACCTAGATTGATCATCTGAAGGTCATCCTTATACAATTCATTATGGATGAAAAACCTCAATGTTGACTGATGCTTCAGGCTTGGTGGAAATATCCATTAATCACCCACCAGTTCAGGTAAACATTTAAAATTCAATTTTACTTTTATGACAATAAGTTTTCTTTTTCTTTTGGTTAGGTAAGCTGTCTTTTGCTGGGTCCCTTTCCTTATTTAGAGAAAATAGAAAATGTTAGTGATTGGTTCTTTATGACAAACTTTAAGGGTCGTATTGTTGACCTCCCATTAGAAACCATGAGTGTTTGCCATTATGTGAAACTGTAATGGACAATTTTCCATTGTACATTCCTACTGTGGCTGTAGTGAATAGCTTGGTTTATTCGATGAAATCATTGGCTAGAGAATGCATTCTGCTTCACTTTTTATAGTGCACAAGATACTGTGTGTATGATCCATGCCATGTGGTAAGAGTCTTGGCATGAAACACGGAATCAGTCACCTCAGCTTCGAATTCTAGCAATTGGTCCTGTTAGTCAATCTCCATCTCTCTGTCATTCTCACCATGATAATCATTCAGATCCGCAATATTAAATATGGGTGAAATATCATAACCTGCTAGAAGCTCCACTTTATACGTGTTTTCTCCCAATCTCCTTAAAACACGACAAAGCCCTATGCCCCTAAACTTCGGCTTTTGGTATTTGCCCTCAAGGAAATCTCTCCTTCTGTAGGTAGACCATAACTAAATTTCCCTCATTAAAATCTTTTTGTCGCATGTGTCGATCGGCATTCTACTTGTAATGCGCTGTGTTCGTCTTTAGCTTTTCTGTCATCTTCAGCTAGATGTCACGAACATTGTTTCAAAAAACACTAGGCGGTCCTTAGGCAGCTGGCCTGCACCTAATGCCTAGGTGCTAGGCAGGTGCCCTGAGGTGAAGAATTTATAGAAAATTGCATATATGCTGTTCAAAAGCACATATATGCTGACATTGGTGTTAATTTTGTATTTTTTGCATTCATATGTGTTCTAACTAACTTTTTCCATGCAAACATATATGCATGAATGTTGAAACATGTTCAAAACTTCAAATTATTGAAAATTTAGTGGTAAAAGTCAAAAACATAAATAAGTCCGTGGTGTATTAGCCTCAAACTGTCCAATTTAAACTAAGTATGGCATGCTCCATAGTGACACAGAAACATGATCATAGACAAGATGATATAAACAAACCTTCACTAGCACCCTAAAAAGAATTCCAACAATGAAGGGTAAGCTTTTGGATGCTTCTTCAAACCTCAGATTCTCTCTTTGATTCAAAGAAATCTCAAAATCAATCGATTTGGGGGCTTAGATGGGAATTTGGTTTTCATTTGGGGCTTTAGAATACCCCTAATAGTCATTTATGTAATGGTTTTGGGTCAAAATGAACCAAATTGTCCTTAGGGGTCACTTTGATCTTAAAAAAGGGGCCCATTACCTGAGTGCCTGGCGTCTAGGGAGGGCCACCCAGGCTTGGGCGCATGTCATGAGGTCCTTCCGGTGCCTAGGTGGGCGCCTACATTCTGGGTGGACCATTTTTTGGAACAAAGATCTCAAATATGCTCAGATCAAGCCTTTGCGTCATCACTAAGTTGCTCCACATCCAGCAAACCCCCAAATCCAATACCTGTTCTGGTTTCCTGCCATAAACCACTTCAAAAGGCAATTGCCCCATGGTCCTATTTCAAGCACTATTATCTGCGAATTCAGCTCAATTCAAAAACAAATTTCGTGCTATGGTCACCCTCTTGCTAAGTAGTGCAAAAGATTGCCCAAACACTTGTTAACTACCTCCTTCTGACCATCTTTTTTAGGATGGTATGTGCTGCAGATCTGCAATTTCGTCCCCATATTTGGCCATAAGGTCCTCCAGAAGTGAGTCTTAAAGCGTGTGCCTCATTCTGAACTTCTTAGAACACCGTGAAGCCAAACAGCATCTCTAAAGTATAGATTGGCTTCTTGTGTAGCATCCAAAGTATTTTAGCAAGCTATGAAATGCGCCATCTTCAAGTAGCGATCAACTTCTACAAAGATAGAGTCCACCACCCGACAATCCTGCTACAAAATCCATACATCTACCCAGGGCTGTCATGGTATTGATAATGGGGCGTACAACTAGGCATTATATGAGTTGGCATGTATGACCTTGTCCATATACAACGCAACATCTCTCCTCGATGCCAAATATATTGGTCCTCCATCAAAGCTAAAGTACGGTCTCTGCCAAAGTGATCTTGTAGTCCACCACCATGCAATTCAGAAAGTATCTTCAATCTCTAGGAGCCATCGGGTATGCAAAGGCAATTCCCTTGAAAAGAAAATCATCCTGCAGAACAGAATGCTTAGTAGCTTCTAGGTCTCCCTTCTGTCTGTTGAACAATTTCAGCAAACTAGGGGTCAGTATTATATTCTTGTGCTACTGTTTCAATGGCCACAACTAACGCTGACAAAATACTCAATACCATGGATCTTTTGCTCAATGCATTTGCTACTTGATTTTGATGTGATCACAGATATAAGTTCATGCAATAATGAAAACCCTTGTATTCAAACTTTCTTTAGTACTCAGGAACCTCAAAGCCTCATGATCAAAATACAATATAAACTCCTGTTAAATCAAATAGTGCTTCCATTGCCTAAATGTTTGCATTCACATAGAACTTCAAATCATCATATGAGCCTTATCCCAAATATTTGGATCGACTACATGAATCCTGGTCTACAATTCTGCTCCACTAAGTGCCATGCTCTCAGTCAGATCATAACTCATAGAACTCCAAATCACATGTCGAATTTCATGACTTAGAATCTTCTTATTGAAGAAGCACCTGACTTATTCTCTTGGCTACGGGACCTATTCCCTTGGCTCAAAACAACCCCTATCCCAACACGGGACACATTACAATCCACCTAAAAACCTTATCGACATTCGGTAAAATCAAGACTGGTGTCTTTGTAATTTTTTCTTTAATGAAATGAGAGCTATCATTACCGTCATCTTTCCAAACAAAGTTGCCTTTATGCATATAAGCTGTAATTGGAGCTACCACACTGCCGAAATTTTTATTGAACCACCGATTAAACGTAGCTAGCCCATGAAAACTATGCACATCCCAATTCAAGTTGGAGCTGGCTACTCAATGATCACTTTAACTTTAATCGGGTCCACTCTAATCCCCTCAGCCAATACTACATACCCCAGAAAGGTAAGTTTATCTATCATGAATGAGGACTTCGTAAGATTGATAAATAACTTTTCAGCCCGTATTGTTTCAAGAGTCTGCCTCAAATGAAATTCAATGTTCCTCAACTGTACTAATGCAAATCAAAATATCATAAAAATATGTTGCAACAAATTTCCCTACGAATAGTTTGAGGACCTGATTCATAACTCGCATAAAAGTGTTGGGTGTGTTAGACAAGCCAAAAGGCAACCCTAGCCATTCATATAACCCCTCTTGAATCTTAAACATTGCTCTCCATTCATCTCCTGGTCTAATTCTGATATGATGATACCTACTTCGTATGCCGATCTTGGAAAACATCTTAGATCCCGACAACACATCCAACATATCATCTAAGTAGGAATAGGGAATCTATAGTTCTATTGTTGATATTGATCTTGTTTATGGCCCTATTGTCCACCCACATTCACTTGGTGCCATCTTTCTTGAGAGTCAACGTTGTTGGGACAGCACCAGAACTTAAGCTCTCATGAATCAACCGCTTACCAATAGGTTCGAAACTTGTCTATAGGTCATGCTCACGGGGACTCATGCGGTAGAGCGATATATTTGGTATACTTGCACCTAGAACAAGTCTGTGCAGTGCTGCTTATTTCTTATAGAGGTAACCCACTTGGTAGTTCTTCGGGCATCAAATCCTAGAATTCATCCAAAAGTGGCTGAACTACCTCATTATCCACCTCAACACCACCATGATCCTTCATCACTAAGGCAAACATAACTCCCCTTTCACTACTTTCTACCAAAAAAATGATGGATGGGCATAAGTAGTTCTTTCTTTTCCACCTAGCCCTCCTTGTCTTCATCATTTTAAGGGTGTAATTTTACATTCATACCATCCTTGGTAAACAAATATGTATTGTTCTGGCCATTTTGAATCACATCATCTATTGGTAATACCTCACACCATATGGAGTCATTATTACCACTTACCCATAGAAAAAGAAACTAAGAGACAAGAACCAACATGAACTTGGTTACCTTGTTTGAACCACTGCATCTTGTAGGGCTGGTGATGTTTTTCTTTGTTTAACTTTAATTTGTTTATCATCTCTTGGGAAACCATGTTCTTGCAGCTCCCGCTCTCAACAATGACCATGTATTTTGTGCGAAAGATGTTAGTGCTTAGCCATGGCTCATCAACAACCTTTGGTGCAGCTAACAGAGGTCAAATCACTAAGAGCTTTCCCTATCAGGGTGTATCCCCTTCACCTTCCTTGATGTCAGTCTCACTCCCTTCATTAATGTGCAGATTTTCCTCTTCATTACCCTCCATGGATTCCCCTTGTAAATGTACCCCAGCATGGCTCTTTGGGAAATCATAAGTTCTATGTCCTGGCTAGCTACATTTGAAACATATTGCTGGTTTACTGCTGTTCTGGGATTGTTGTGCTGTGCTGGTTTAGCGCTCAAACCAATCTATTTCTTCACCATTGGGATAATTTTGCCCCATATGCCTCCTCTGACTTGGTAGTGGGCCTAGTGGCTGGTCACACAAGTCTGCACAGTTTGGTCACGGCTTTCAAAGCGAGATGATACGTTTGATCCAAGGTAAAATCTGGTGCATAGATAACTCATCTTGTATCGCAACATGCAACCCTCCCACTAGTATATCACACAATCAACTGGGCATCAGACTCTCGAATATCATTCCGACTCAAGAATTGATAGAAGGATTTTGTATAATCCTGTATCAACCCATCATTCTGTCGTAAATGATGGAATCGCTGGTAGGGATCATAATCTGTGGGCAGAAACTTTCCTTTCAAATACTTCTTCATCTTCTCCCAACTGTGAACTTGCTTTTCTTTTCTTGTGCGATCAACTTGTATTTGCTGACACCACAATAAAGCACGTCCTTTTAATCTTGTACCAATTAATCGTACCTCTTTATGATCTGCCTTATCCTTCCATTGAAAAAATTATTCGACACTTACAAGTCAGAAAGTTATTTGGCTATAATCTTCCTGTAAAACCAGAAACATCGACCCTAATACTTCGTTTAGAGCCTTTATGCGCCTGAACTAACTGATCTTCAAATGTTTTCAAATGGTGTAGGTTTCCTTGCCTGTGACCAGTGGGATCCCAGGCTATTTGAGTTTGAATCATCATCTGAATTCAGCTTTGGTCTTCGTCCTAAACCCTGGGGACGCATTTAATCATCCTTCATCCATGTTCATCCCTTCGCTAGCTCAATTCTAGGGTGACATCTCTGATCTGGTGCACCTCGACAGGCAATGTGTCAAATCTCTGAAGAACAATTCCAAATCTGCCATTGTGGGCCTAATTCCGCATCTCAACTGAGGCCTCCTTCACAACCCTTGTGTAGCCATTCTTGTGTTTCTGCAAAAATTAAATTCTGCAGTGCATGGAGAAATCGATATGCTCTGACAACAATTGATGCAACAAAAAGTGCAGATAAACAAGGTTCAAGGGAAAATAGGTCTTAAAATTCAGTAGATTCGATAAGATTGATGCTAGAGATGCTTAAATAGAGAAAAATCTCTCCATAATGATGAAATCAGCAAAACTAAGGCCTAAGCCCTATTACAGTTTTAAATAACCAATCTTAACTAATCTTCTAGATCCTCAATACAATAAAAGGCCAAACTACACACTCATCAAATAAATTTCTAACGAACTTCTGCAAAGTGCCATGCCACCCCTGAACATTATAAAATCCCAAAAGTGCTCTTTCCAAAGTCCGTGAAGAAATAAAATAAAAAATAAAAAAAGCAGAAATTATTGGAAGATGACATCAGCATTACATCCACATAATTGCAGCATAAACTTATCCTACTGTGACAACTCCTATGTCACTCAACCGGATCTACATTCTGTAGCTATAGTCAGCTAATCATTCATGTGTGTAGGACTGTAAACCTTATGGTTGTTCCGAGAATCGTAAGGCACCTAAGGTCATCATGAATAGCAGTATATTTTTTTAAATAAAACAAAATTTTAGTAAATAATATAAAGTACAATATATAAGTGTCAGTGAATTTATGGAGGCTGGTGTACTAGCAGGGATTGGGGACTTGAGCCTCTCAATTTGTTGAAAGGGTTTTGCATAGTCACTGAATTGTCACCTTTACACATCATGAATAGGAATCTTTAGTTTTCATTCTTTATTCAAGTGGCAATCTCAATATTACATCATCTTTTGACAGTCTGCCAGATCAATATGGGTCAGAACATTTCTTTTATGTTATTATAGATATCCCTCAGAAGCAATGTCTAGACATCCATGATCAAGTAGCAATTGTCTGTGTTCCCAGATTGACTGCTGAAGCTTCAGTGGGTACAATGCAATAGTACTTCATGTAAATTTGCTTGCTCAATTGTGGGTGACATGCCTGTGTCGGTGTCTTTTCCTGATAAGATGCTTAGCGATAATCTAACTAAAACTCAAAATGGAACTGCTCCATGAGATAGTGAAACATATAAATTGCATTGTCAATGTTAGAGAAATCAGTGAAGTTTAATAAAAGAGTATCTTGATGACTGTGTTAATAGTGAAGATGTCTAACACTGGCAGGCATGTGTAGAAATGCATCAAAAAGATGCTTAGTGATAATGTGACTAAAACTCAAAATGGAACTGCTCCATGAGATAGTGAAACATATAAATTGCATTGTCAATGTTAGAGAAATCAGTGAAATTTAATAAAAGATTATCTTGATGACATGTCAATACTGAAGATGTCTAACACTGGTAGGCATGTGTAGAAATGCATAAAAAATGATAGATTTATTTTTTACTTGTCAAGCTTTCAGATCTCTGCACCTGGTTGTGTTTTGCTTAAATGCATTCATATCTCGATTTTGTTAGATTCTGTTATAAGCTCTTATACATCAGAAACAGGCTGAGATCTTTCCAATTTTTTGTTGGATAATATATTTGAACTCCTTAAGGGGCTTTCTAGATGCATATAATATCTGGCATCCTACTTTATTTGTGGGTGATTTTTGGCGGTAACATGTAGATAAGTGTTTTCTCACAGCTTAGTTGCAGAGCCTGGATCTTTGCAAAATGCAAATGTTTTTTCCTTAAGTTCTAACTATTGTAGTTTCTCTTATGGGAGGACAGGTTTATGCATTTGTGATTGGTAAAACTCTTCGAGCTTGGGATAAAATTGGCTGTCCGGTTTCTGTTATCGATAATGAGACTCTTCACTCAATCGACTGGTCAAAGTATGTTAGATGCAAGAACGTTTGATTCTATGTTAATGATCATCTTGAAACTGTTAAATCTTACATAGACTTAAAATATTCTTTGAGCATTGAATAACGCCTGATGAGCTTTTACTGATGAGGGCAAAGTGCTTCTATTTTCATTTTATTTAGTTCAGTTTATACTGAAATCTACACAGTAGATGTTTTGGTCAAGTTTGTCATTCTCTAGTGCGGCTATGTTTCTAGTTGATGTATATTCTTTTGCTGAAATTTTACAGTTTTGTTGGGGTGCTATTGACCTCTCTTGAAGACAAAATAGTAGTTTCAAGGTAAACATTTTTGCTCTTTTCTGTACTGTTATTATCATGTTTCATGCTTTCTATTTTTCTCCAACAATTAATGAGCTTCCCATTGAAATCAGTGAGAGATTGAACCTATAATTGTAACTGGCATGCCTTGTTTTCTATTGATTTATTTATAGTTGCGATGAGTTTTGCAGGTAGCCAAATAAGTGGTGCAAAGTATTGAGCTTCCTCTGCTTTATAATAGAATTTAAACCTTCTTGTTTTGAACTGCTACTCACTTTACTTAAAGGCTTTTGGAGATGAGTCTGTTCTTGAATGTGATCATTGAGCACAAAAAACTGCAATCACAGAGGTCTTTGTCTATGTTAGAAATTTATATCGAAGAAAGGTTATCATTCAAATATTGCATAATTACTGGTCCAGGAATCTGTGGTGTACTCAACCTATAGAGTATTAGCTGTAACTCATAAGAAAACTGTACTATTTTATATGCTTATTATTTCATGCACTTGGATTATGTTGAGAGACAAACTCAATGTCTGCTTTCTTGTGTTTGTCTTGATGTTTGCCCTTTGTCCTATATATTTAATGAATCATTTATTTCTTGTGTCTTGGCCTTAGTTCTGTATACTTCTCCAACTCTCTATTATGATATAAAGGGTGTCAAACAAACCCCTTTTACTAGTTGTTTGGTTCTTGGGCTAACTTGAACAATTTTAGCTTAAGGGTGCACACACACACACACACACAGAGGAAAAAGCTATTAATACCATTAGGTTGTCACCCAAAATGAATAGTAATTTCGGTTACATTCCCCGCCGTCAGATCTTGTTGGGTTGTTGCAAATTCATTTGACTATTTGAATTTTATTATTATTTCTTACAAATCATATTAAACTGAAATTTTGTGGTTTTTTACAACTTATTTGGACACACTAGAATAAAATATGGAACAAATATTTTCAAAAAAATAAAATAAAAATAAAATGACCAAAATACCCCTGAAATATTTCAGTGGTATTGAATATTTTTTTTCTGGTGTAAAAGGGTGTTGAGTGTACATGCTCAAATTTTCAACTTCATTGGATAAATAACAGGATTAAAAATTGAATAGTAACATTACACTCTAAATCATCTGGTCAAGATCTGAAGGCTTGGCCTTTGGTTACAGTATAGGCCTCTAGGTTATCAATCTTTATGTATATACAATATGATTATGATTTCATTATTCATATCCTCATAAAATAGAACTATAAAGCGGCAAAATGTCCTAAACTATTTGCTGGTTCCATTTCATGATAGTTAAATATCAAGCTGAAAGAAGTCATAGTAGCCCCTCTAAAAGTATCAATTGTGCTTTTGTTGCCATCAAAATTTGTATCCATTTAGACTTTCAAAGTTCGAATACACCTACTCAAAACACTAAAGAAGATCAATTTCGTGTCGATGACATAATCGATTTTCTATGTAGAAAACCAGTGTCGATATGGGTGTAGGGAAGTGTCTGACCCTGTGTGATATGCACATAGAAGAATCCAGGCAGCATTGCTGCTTTGAGTAATTTTTTTTCTGTTATTAAAGGGGACCTTCTTGTTCTAACCTCATTATTCTCTTCTACAACCCCTTTATTTTTTTTCTTGTAGACCCCTTTTCTGATTCTGATTAGAAGCTATTGTAGGAGTATTTTCTACACGTTATTTGCATGTTGTAGAATTTGTGAAACTCCCTCATCTATAATATAACTTGCACTATTCCCTCCAGTTCTTTTGTTCTATAATAATTTGCATACGTTCCTCATTGGAGGCACGCATGCTTCCTGTTATGGAGCATGTTGACCTGTGCCATTAAGGAGACATTTTGGGAACACATCCATTGCTCTTGCCATGGAGATAACTAGAGCAGCATTGGAAAATCGTATTTAATTTTTCTTCAATTTATGTCAGAAGTAGGCAACTGTCAGGAGGATGGCAAGGTACACCTCAACAAGGGCCTGGTCTCCGGTAACATGTAAAATCACAGACTTGATGCCATCGTTCCCTGGTGCATCTGCATTAGTCTTACGTAAATATGACATCTGGAAGCACAAATGTGAACAGTCTCCTCAAAATTCATGGTCGGTACAAAGAGGGTGGCATCTCTTTGCATATCCATCTAGTGACATTGACTTGGATTTTGCTTTCTAGATGGAGTTGATATGGAATTCTCTTTGAATTGAATTGGCTCGCTTGTTGAATTTTTAAAAAATCATTCTACCGCAGGTTTGCCAAGTTTTATTGTCAAAGAATGGTCTGAACTATGACTTGACTGAACTTTATAGTGTTTTCACTTGGTGTTTAAATTTTCTTTCATTTGACAAAGCATTACCTGTTTCTGACTGAGTTAAGTTGTCCATTTATAGAGTCCACTTCATTATTGGAATTAGCATTTAATATAAAATGTGTTTCCTATGGGTATGTAAATCGAGTATTTCTTTTTTGGGAAACATTTATATAAGGTTGCAACCTTAAAATGTGAATCACATGTGCACCTAAAAAATTTTAATGTTGAAAAACCCTCTGATTGATCATCTCGATATCGAGATGTATGAATATTAAAAAAACAAAGTTTTTGAGTCCAAAAATAGTGCATCTTGCAACACATTATCTAGATTGTCCAATTTCATGATTTTCAGATGTTTATAGATCTACTTGATTTTAACCATTATTGGAGTTTAAAATTTTCTAATTAGATATGAAAATAGGTTTTAAGATAATCCTAAAAAATTTTTACAGAAAAATTATATGTTATGATAAAATTTAGAGGTGCACCTTAATTGGATTGTTTAAGGTTGCAACCTTAATTTGCATTTATTCGTGAATAGCGTAAGTGTAAGGCTGTAAGGCTGTTCTTGTTTGGTGATCTCTCTTAAATTGTTGGCATATTTGTGTTGCATGTTTATATTATTAAGGAATTAGATACTATGAGACCATTATCTTTGTTACAAGGAGGTTACAATTGCTACTGGCCATTAGACGTCAAACTAGATGGTTTGGGATATGACACAAAGTTTTACAATTTTTTTTTTTGAACTTTTGGGTCTAATAAATGACACATTCACAACCACATGATTTGAAATCTGATGGATAAGTGTGATTGTGACCCCTTTGTATTGAAAGTAAATGATCTCTTTATATGTTTTCCCTAATATTAATTATTTAAAGAGACATTGAATTTCAAATATTCTGCAGCCTCATGCAAGAGCCGTTTCTTTCCGTACCGCTTATTTGGATTGTGCAAGAAGACACTCTTGGACAGTGTCTTCCGTTGTATGAAAAGAATAGATGGGCTGGTCTTGTTAGCGAGTGGATAAGTGCTTTTAGCAGGGCCAATGTTGTGGTCTTTCCAGATTTCACACTTCCAGTACTATCTCTGGTCTTTACTTCTTTTCAGTTTGAGCGTGTAAAGGTCTACATGTGCAGGCACGTGTGTGTGCTTGCACATCGTTTTTTTGGGTGGATTTGGCACTTTGACCCTGCTTGGTGTTCTGTTTTCTGTGGCAGATGATGTATAGCAAACTCGATACTGGAAACTTTTATGTTATTCCTGGATTGCCAGTAGAAGCATGGGATTCAGAAGCCCGCGATCTGGGAGATGTAAATCAGCTTCGAGAAGACAATAGACTTAAAAAAGATGATCTGATTGTTTTTGTCACTGGGAACCCTTTTGCCAACAATGGTTCATCTTTGGAATATGAGGGGGCTATTCATTCAATAGTATCTTTTCTAGTGGACAAGTATATATCATTCAAATTCTTTTTCTTTCGTGGAAATGCTAGTGATGGTGGTCTGGAAGCTATGAAGGTATTTTGTTGATATTTCATATTATTGGAAATAGAATGTATCATATGAATTATACTTTTATCCATACATTGACATAGCAAACGTTTATTTGTTCTTGTTGTATGTGTTTTTGCATAATGTTTTGGGCAGGATGGTAGACATCTCAAGAAATGGTCCCCTTTATCTCATGGATAATGATATACATGCCTTGCAAGTTGGTAGAATTTAGTTGGTGGACAGGGTATAGTGATTCTTTCTTATGCTTTCAAAGAGAAAAACAATGAATTCTATTTAAGATACTTCTTTTGAATTAAAGATACATGAGATACCTGGATCTAAGTTTGGAAGTGTAATCCTAGAACTTGGCTAGGGATAGGGAACCATTGTGCACAATCCTGAAACATCATGTTGATTTGCCAAGCTTCCTAATCTAGTTGACCACCCTTAATGGGACTAATTTGTGTCATTGGATCATAAAACACTTATTTAAGAAAAAGAAAAAAGGAACATTCAGAAATTTAAAAATAAAAAAATTCATGGAAATTAATAATAAACATTTGTAAGACTATAAAAATAATGGAAATCTAATGAAAGCTTATACACCTTACTGTAATACATAATATTAATCTCTGTTCTGGGATGGATATTATGGAGATTAACCATAACAACCACATTATGGTCCTCATGGCTTGAAAGAAATGGAAGGACTCTTTGAGAAAGATACGCGTGACCTTCATGGTAATCAAAAACATCGATGTGACAACTTTATGGACTCTAAGTGGAAAGGAAATCTGGTGATTTAGAATGGTAAGTTTTAGCAAGCAGTGAAGTCCAGTCCTACCGTGGATGGACTCAAGTCATAGGTGGTCAGGGTGTTTCGGGGTTTATAGCCTTTAAAGCCTGTGGGAGCATTAATAATTGTAGTGGATTCTACACTTTAGTGGGAGTGTGTGGTGGTTGATTCACCTAGAGTTGGGCAGTTTATAGCTCTAGTTATGTCCAAAACCTTTTCTTCTAGGATTATAGCACTACCTCTTGTTGAGGTCAGAGAGATGCCCAAGGATGGTTTGTAGGCCATGAGAGCTTTGTTGCCTCTTGTGCGTCGATGTAGGCTTGTAAGAGCGATGACTAAATCCTCAACGAACTTTGGCTTGAGAAGATAATGAAGCTGTCTTGGCTTATTAGGATTGTGGTTTGAGAAGCTCTTCTAGCCTTGTAGTTTCACTATTTAATTGCAAGCTCTTCTGGCCTTGTAGTTTCACTATTTAATTGCAAGCTTTGACAAGCCGATCATGAGCTCTTGCATGAGAGACTATGGGTCTCGTTGGGTTGGTTTGGGAAGATAGTCGAGGATCATGGTTACTTTGGTCATGTGGAGTGCCTTGATAATCACTTTTCTTGACCCATTGATGCCAATCCACTTTAAATATTTTGGTTACAATTTAAGAAATGTTTCATGTGAATTTTAGATTTTTTTTTAATTTTTAAAAATCATTTTCAGCAGTATAAACCCTTATTTTGATATTCTAGTATTATAGAGGGGCTAGTAGCAACATGTTTGGGGTCGTTGGATCTAGGTCCACATGTGCGCAACACCCACATGTGTGGAATGTGGAGCCCATAGGGGCCCACACATTCCATATAGAGGTGGGATGCCTCGTCCTCTCTCAGAAATTATTTAAAAATAAATGTCAACCTTTTCTTCAAAAAAAAAAGAAGAAATTATTTTAAAAATAAAAAGAATCTTTCTTTTAGTAGGAAAGCTTGAGGAAATCTTTGAAAATGATTGTATGTTATTTTTATGGGAGTAAACTAACATTTGGTTTTGGAAACATTCTTCAAATCTTTGACCCAATCTTTTGACTTTGACTTTCTACCATCTTTGCGATCGAAAAGGGCGTTCTAGTCCAAATAAGAGATATGTTTTGATTAGTCTTATCCTTGATTGACTAGAAGTCGATGTGGGTCAAAGATTCATGGTATACGGTTCCTAATTTCCTCATTAAATCATGATGGCTGATTCTTGAGATGGGTAGCTCAACTTTGTTCTGCTCTAACCTCACATATACGTAGAATCCTCTATTGGTCTTATATGATGAGTCACAATTAGATTAGGTGTACCTAAAACCTCCCTTGGAGGTTCTATAAAGGGGAGTGGTTAGGTACCTCGATCTCGCCATCTGGGTTGCGATGATCTGGTGGTGTGGCTCCAGGTTCGAGTCGAGCCTGGGACCAGAGATCCTTCTCGGGAATCGCATAAAGAGGAAGCGGACAGGGATACCAACCGGTGAGAGAGGAATTTGATCGTGAGGCGGGACTTACTTTATGTGGGTTCGTGACACTCTCGGACTGCTCGCGTGGGTGCCCTCTTAGATCGCGAAGAATGCCCCCTGGCCTGAGGCTGCTTTGGAATCGCCTCCCTTGACCTGTTTCTTCCTTCTTGCATCCACACGCACTTTAAGGGTACAGACAAGTGGGTCAGAAGACCCCACCTTGTCTTTGGGCGAATGCACACAAGCGTGTGCATTCAAAAGGAAAAAGGGGGAATGGTGCCATTGAGTCCTTGTCAATTGGATAGCCTTTCGGCGTCTTCTTAACAAGGGACTCACGACATCGTTCCTAAGTAGAGAGTGAGAGAAAGGGAGTAAGATGGAGATAATGAGAGAGGGAAGAAAAGAGATAAGAGGCAGAAAGAGAAGAGAATAGAGAGAGAAAAGAGAAACGATGACTAGTTTGGTTTTCACCCAGTTCTTCAGAAAGAGAGGAAAAGTGGAGAGAGAAAAGAGAAACAAAGGCTAGTTTGGTTTTCACCTAGTCTTTCAAAGAAGAGAAGAAACAAGAAAGAATGAGAGAGAGAAAAGAGAGACGAAGGATAGTTTGGTTTTCACCTAGCACTTCAAAAAGAGAGAGAGAAGAAAGTAGAGAGAGAAAAGAGAGACAAAAGGGATGAAGGTTAGCTTGGCTTTCGCTAATCCTTCCAAAAGGGAGAAGCGAAGAGAATGAAATAAGAGAGAGAGTGGAAGAGAGAAGAGAAGGAAAAGTGAGAAGGAAGAGAGAGACGAAGAGAAGAGAGAAGAGAAAGAGGAAGAAAGAGAAAAGAAGAGAAAGAGGAAGAAAGAGAAAAGAAGAGAAAGAGAAGAACGAAGAAAGAGAGGAGAGAGAAATATTAGAGACGACAGGTAGACCCTACCGTCCCTAGGAGAAGAGAGAGAAAAGAGAGAAGAAGAAGAGAGGTGAGGGCGGCGGGTAGACCCTGTTGTCTCAAAGATGAGAGAGAGTTTGGGATGGTGGGTAAGACTGTCGTCCCAGAGATGAGAGAGAAGAGAGAAATTTTAGAACGGTGGGTAAGACTGCCGTCTTAGAGATGAGAGTGAAGAGAGAAAGTTTGGGACAGTGGGTAAGATTGCCGTCCCAGAGATGAGAGAGGAGAGAGAAATTTTGGGATAGTGGGTAAAACTGTCATCTCAGAGATTAGAGAGAAGAGAGAAAGTTTGGGATGGCGGGTTAGCTTGTCGCCCCAAAGAGGAGAGAGAAAGAAGGTTCGGGAAGGTGGGTGAGCTTGCTGTCCCGAAGAGGATAGAGAAAGAAGAGAGATAACGAAGACAGTGGCTGAGCCTGCCACTCGAGAAAGGACTCGGGCTGCCGTCTCAGTCAGTAGAGAGAAGACAAGAGGGAGAGAAAGGAAAAGACAAGAAGAAGAGAGAAGAGAAACGAAGAAGAGAAAGAAAAAGAAAGAAGAAGAGAGAAAAGGGAAATAAGTAGAGAGAAGAGGAAATAAGAAGAGAGAGAAAAGGAAAGAAGAACAAAGAGAAGAGGAAATAAAAAGAAAGAGAAGAGGAAAGAAGGAGCGAGGAGAGAGAAAGAGAGAGTTTGGGATTTCTAGAATACCAGCATGCATGTATTGGAACTGTGCAAACAACAACTATTTTTGTTACCTTCTTCCCAAATTTTAATATCCCCATCAGAGACCCTCACCTAAGCTCAGCCTTTAAAGTTCAATTGCAAATCACAGGCACCAGACAAATTGAAACAACCACTGTAGCTACACTCCATTACCAAATGGTGTATAGATTACAGAATCATGCCTTTGACATGGTTACTCCTCTTTCCCTAGAGTAAGAAAACAAAGTCTTGTTTATAAAAGTAGATAACAATTCCCAACTTGTCTGTCATTATATTCCTAGACAAATCTCTAGAATAAGACTATTAGAATTGATTCCATCTACATAGGTGACAAATTATGAAAATCTGCAAAGTCAAGGAAGACCTCTTCAACAAACTGATTCCAGGATGACAAGAAATCCATCAGTAATGCTTCAGAATCATGGAAGTAGAAGAGAATTCTTCTGATTCATCTGTAGAACTAACTTCATCTTGAAGATTCTGTTGGATATGTTAAGTTCTTTAAAAAAGAACTTACATGATTGGGATTTTCTGAAGGGATGGTCATATGGGTTGGAACAGAAGAGGGTACAACATCTGAAACAATGATATCAGATTCTGTATCAGAATTCTAAATCATCTGAGTTTCATTTTTTGGTTGAGGGGATGTCTGGGGAATCTGTGTAACCACTGGTGTAGAGGCTAGCTGGGAACTTGGTATAGGATAAGAAGATGAAGATGGTACATTTGAGCTTTGTCTCTTTTTTAATTGTGGAAATATCAAATGCTCAAGGAACTGTCTCTTAGCTTCAAATGTTCTCAATGGTCTAAAGCTATAGTTTCTTGGAGGAATTAAACCAGTTGGAGGGTAAACGGTTCTGGTTGGAGGAAATGGGTCTGGGTTTCTTAAAGAAGGGTATGTTTGAGAAGTTGGTATTGGTAACAGAGGGTGATATTGAGTTTGGAATTGGTGCTGGGACTGGAATTGGTGCTGGGATTTCCAAAGGTCTTTTTCCAAACTTTGAAGTTGTTTTTCCAAAGAAGCTTTTTCTTGCCCTTTTTGTACCAGTAAATAGGACTGTTCATTAATTTCTTTGACTGTGTACAAAAGATTCATTAACTCTTCATGTAAGAGCTGA